TAGCGCTACAACTCTATCAGTTAATAAATATTCTTGCAAAACTTCAAGAATTGTAAAATAAATAGTTTCGACACTATGTTTTTCGTATAATGGTTTAAAACCTATTAATTTTTGTTGTAAACCCCAATTATGATCTAAGAAATATACCGTGACAGTTAAAAAATCAGTTTTTGATCTACAAGCCCATATGTCTGATGTAAGTACAATAGATATATTTCTAAAATTTTGAAATTCGTTTTTAAGTTTATTATTTAGTTTGTTATAAAGTTTTAGTATATATCTTCTACTTGTAGTTCTACTAACAGGGGTATACTGGACAAAATGCAGTTTTAACCATATGAATAAAAAAAGGATTTTCAGATAAACAAATGGAAGAGTCCATAGCAACTATATATCTTGTTATTTCCTCTCGTGCAACATGTACATTGTATTGCTATGTTGAGAGAGTTGAGGATTAAAATTAAGTTGAGTTTGAATTTGTCTACCTGATCCGCTTGAAGATGCATCAGGCAATTGCATAATTTGAGGGTGCTTCTTCTCCATGTGTCGTCGAAATCCCCTTCTCAGCGCCAATAATGGTTCCATAAAAATTATATATCTCAGTGCCATGTGTCGTCTTTGGCTGTTTTGATTTGGTGAAGTATCGTCATACATCGGACACAACCCTCTTTGATGGCCGAGGGGTTTGGGCTATGCCCGTGCCCGTTGACTCGCAGCTCGCATGTGTTTGGCTACATCTCGTCCCGATCGAATATGGTTGTGGAATTGCAGTTGCTTCCTCTCGAGTAAATGATGAAAATGGATTGAAGCCTTCTATTTCTTCGATGGATGGAACATAAAACTCATTTGGAGAAGCCATTATAAATTTATAACAAAATAATAATTAATTAAAATGAAAAGAAATTAAATAATAATATGAAATTATGATGATATTGAAAAATACAAAAAAAATTGAATAATATAAATAAATAATATGAATAAATTATAAATATAAATATAAATAAATTGAATGAGAAATTGATTGGAGATTTGGAGTAGAGAGATTGAGAGAATGAGAGATTGATTGGTGTGAAAAAAATGAAAGATTTTAAGGTTATTCATAGTGTAGTGAAGGGGGGGGGGGTTACAATATATATTATAACCGTTGGCTGACATGTGACCGTTGCCAACATGCCAGTCAATGGTTAAAAAATAAAATATTTAGTAAAAGTGTAAAACATTTTTTTTTTTTTTTTTTTGGTATAAATTTTGTAAAAAAATTTTTAGCCCTCATGATTTATGTTCATTTTAAAATTGACAGGGAGTTTTATGTAATTTGACAAGGACTACATTTAAAAAAAAAACCCAAAAATTTTGGGCCCAGACCTTGGAGGAGGGCTCGGGCCCTCATCCTTAGGCCTGGTCCCATTTTGAGACTAGGCCACTTAGGACTGGGTTTTGGGACTGGGCTTTTGGGCCCAGTCCCAAATGCCCACCTCTAAGAAATATTATAAAGAATCAAATAATTGTGGTTAGAATTTAATTAGAACATGTCATATAAAGACCTCTAAGAAATATTATAAAGAATCAAATAATGGTGGTTAGAATTTAATTAGAACGTGTCATATAGAGGTGGGCATTTGGGACTGTGCCCAAAAGCCCAACCCTAAAGCAGCCCTAGGAGGCCTGGTCCCAAAACAGGACCAGACCTAAGGAGGAGGGCATGGGCCCTCCTCCAAGGCCCAGTCCTGGGACTGGTCTCAAAATTTTTGGGGTTTTTTAAATGTAGTCTCATCCAAATTATATAAAACCCCCTACTAATTTTAAAATAAATATAAATTATGAGGACTAAAAAAAATTTTACAAAATTTATAAAAAAAAAAAAAAGTTTTATACTTTTACGAACTGGTTATATTTTATTTTTTAACCGTTGGCTGGCATGCTGGCAACGATCACATGCCAGCCAACGGTTATAATATAAATTGTAACTTTTTTTTTTTTTTTTCATTCCCCCCCAACAACTACACTATAAATAACCTTAAAATGTTTCATTTTTTTTACATCAATCAATCTCTCATTCTCTCAATCTCTCTACTCCAAATCTCTAATCAATTTCTCATTCAATTTATTTATATTTATATTTATAATTTATTTATATTATTCAATTTTTTTCTATTTTTCAATATCATCATAATTTCATATTATTATTTAATTTATTTTCATTTTAATTATTTATTATTTTATTATAAATTTATAATAGCTTTCCCAAATGAGTTTTATGTTCCATCCACTGAAGAAATGGAAGGCTTCAATCCATTTTCATCATTTTCTCCAAAGGAAGCAGCTGCAATTCCACAACCACATTTGATCAGGACAAGGTGTAGCCAAACACATGTGAGCTGCGAGTCAACGGGCACGAGCATAGCCCAAACCCCCCGACCGTCAAAGAGGGTCGTGTCCGATGTATGGCGATACTTCACCAAATCAAAACGGCCAAAGACAAATGGAGAGGGGGAAGAATTGTATGGGATATGTAATTTCTGTAGAACCATTATTGGCACTGAGAAGGGCACTTCAACGATGCAACGACACGTGGAGAAGAAACACCCCTAAATAATGCAATTGCCCGATGCATCTTCAAGCAGATCAGGTAGACAAATTCAAACTCAACTTAATTTTAATCCACAATCCTCAACTCTCTCAACATGGCAACAATTGCACATGTTGCACGAGAGGAAATAGCAAGATATATAGTTGCTACGGACTCTTCCATTTGTTTATCTGAAAATCCTTTTTTTATTCATATGGTTAAAACTGCATTTTGTCCAGCATATACCCTTGTTAATAGAACTACAAGTAAAAGAGATATACTAAAAACTTTATAACAAAATAAATAATAAACTTAAAAACGTATTTCAAAATTTTAGGAATATATCTATTACACTTACATCAGACATATGGGCTTGTGGATCAAAAACTGATTTTTTAACTGTCATAGTACATTTTTTAGATTATAATTGGGGTTTACAACAAAAATTGATAGGTTTTAAACCATTATATGAAAAACATAGTGCTGAAACTATTTATTTTACAATTCTTGAAGTTTTGCAAGAATATTTATTAACTGATAGCGTTGTAGCGTTAACGCTTGATAATGTAACTGCTAACATCGCAACAATCTCTTTATTTGAAAAGAGATTGGATTCGCGTGATGAAGACAAATTTTTTCACCAAAGATGTGTTTGCCACATCATCAATTTGATAGTTAAAGCAGATTTAGATGTTATACATTCAAAGATGGAGAGGGTGCTTAGAACTATCGGATTTATCGTCAGTGGTAACAATAAAAGATAGCAAGAGTACATCAAATATTGTAAGCAAGAAGACCCACCGGTTCGACATTTGAAGTTATGTACAGACATGCCTATTCATTAGAACTCTATCTACTTGATGTTGGAAAAAGTTTTGCCAACCGCGAAACAAATTACAGATTTCGTCAACCGAAAGAACCGTTTAGAGGAAATTGTCAGTTATGATGATTGGACAATTTGTGAACTTTTTTATTCATTTCTTCAAATTTTTTATGATGCTACTAATACACTAAGTGATATTTATTATCTAACTACTAATTTAGTGTTAAATATTTTATTTCAAATTGTTAAAACTTTTGCTCAATATAGATATAATACCATTTTAAGTGAAATTGTTTTAAATATGAAAGAAAAATATAAGAGATATTGATTAGATATTTCATTTTTACATGGATTAGGCCTTGTTCTAGATTCTAGGTTTAAATTACACGTAGTTAACTGTATAGTTACTGAGATTGGCCAGCATTTAGGATATGATTATACGTCTTATTTGACTGAATTTAAACAAAAATTGGATAGCTTTTTTTCTTTATATGAGAACAGGTACAATGAAAGTGGAAGTGGAAGTGGAACGTTCAGGAGAGAGGATCTGGACCTTAATGCAGCCCTCCGTCAAGGATTGAGCAAGTAGACGTATGTGGAACGTGGTGGAAGTAGCAGCTCCAACTCATACATACATGGACCAAATGAGCTAAATCGCTACCTACAAGTGGAACTGTCCTTTATGACGATGAAGGAGCAATATGATATGGATATTCTTCAGTGGTGGAACCAACATGAAAGTCGATTCCCCATCGTAGCCCAAATAGCACGTGGCATTTTATCTGTGTCGGTTTCTACAATTGCATCTGAGTCAACATTTTCAAAGAGTGGTCGAATTGTTGAAGACAAAAGATGTTCTTTAACCAATGAGATGATTGAAGTCATAACGTGTTTACGGGATTGGACTCATGTAGAAAGAAGACTACAACAACACCCTGAAGATCCCGAACTACTCAACCTTTTTAGGAATACAGATTTGAATGATCTAAATATTGTTGACGATGAAAATGAATAATTTAATCAAAAAAATTATTTAATTGTTTATTTGTGAAGCGTGAATGTGTGAAACGTGAATTTATGTTAAAAATTAAAATTAACTATTAATTAATTTATTATTTTTTAAAATTAATTAAATTTTTAGAAACTTACTAATCTACCCTTGAAAGATACTAAAAACCCCCTACAAAATTTCATTTCACCCTCAAAATATAAAAAAAGATCAGGGGGGAAAAAATTGTCCAGGCCCATAGGACTGGTCCGGGTCCTCATTTTACTCATGGGCCTGGGATCTGTCCTAGGCCCATAAGTAAAATGAGGACCCGGACCAGTCCTATGGGCCTGGACAATTTTTTCCGAATATAAAAAAAGATCAGGGGGGAAAAAATTGTCCAGGCCCATAAGACTGGTCCGGGTCCTCATTTTACTCATGGGCTTGGGATCTGTCCCAGGCCCATAAGTCCCAAACGGGCCCAGGCCCGAGCCTGCTTAGGACTGGTCCCTGCCCACCTCTAGTGTCATAAACCATGGACTAGTAGAATGACTCACGTGTCCAAAACCCAGAGGCCCAATGGTACTGTAAAGGGTGAATGATGTCATTCCACTTTGTTACTTTGTAGTCTGCTGAAAGACTTCAGCAAATATGACATAATTATCTTCTTGTTAAACCATACAGCCATTCGTCGAGCCCTTGAAGTGTAGAACAAAGAGATCCAAGAGCTAATCAGATAATCAAAAACCTCGAAAGTGAAAGAGTTCTACTATGAATAAAGACCAATGAAGAAATGCTACATTCGCTCACGGGCATGGTAGATTCTTCCAAATCAATTACTTATATAGAAAACGTGTTTACTTTAAAGGACGCTTCTGCAATAACATTCCAAAAAAAAAAAAAAAAAATCAATCTTCAAAATCTCACTAAATGTCTAAACCGAACACACGGAAACATTCTTCCAAAAGGACATCTAGATGACGATTGCAGTTAGACGTTTCACTAATAATGTCATTTTCATTCCAGTATATACTATATACGCCTAAAATAAGAAAAAAGCTTTAGAGTAAACCACATATTCCCACCCAAGGTTTAGTGAAATGGTAAGTTCTTACGCCTAGTTTCACAAATTCGAGATTCTCACTGTTAAAGTAACATTGTTAATAACGGTTGAGTTCTGACACAGATACAGAGGGTGCTATTATCAAATATCCTCCCATCTTCTTCTTCTTCATCTCCCCTCTTTCGCCATTACCAACCCCCGGCTAACCCCGACTCTTCGCCTCCAGCCAACGTGCGACCACTTGGCCAACCCCCGACGCTCATCGCCCCATTTGACACCACCAATTACTTCCCCTCGCCATCCCTACCAAAACCTTAACACCATCTAGCCACCCGTCACCCAACAGTCTTCTCTCTATCATGTCGCGCAACCCTGCGCTGCACTACCCCATGCCACGCAACCTTGTGTCGTGCAACCCCAGGTTGCGTGTCGTGCAACCCCATGCCGCAACCTGATAGCCCTTGAGCTATCGCACACCGCCACCATCAAGCCTATCAGTTGAACCTCGCCACCTAGCTGCCTATTGCGCACCAATCATGCGCCGCTCATAGTTGTATTGCTTTGATTTTTGAATGAATCGGAGTTTGATTGAGTTGGTTGTGTGATTGAATCAGAGTTTGGTTGAATTTGATTTCTGTTTGGGAGTTTGATTGTTTGCCCAACTTCCCTCACCACCGGCAACCCCACTGGTCTCCCTTTCACCCACCACCCAAGCTTGCACAACACCCCCCACCTGCTCGATAAATTGCCCCAACCAAGTGTTCATGTTGGCCCCCCGCTTATAGATCTAGTCTATTATTAACATGTATTTTGAGTTTTATTAATTTGGATTGATTTGAGTTGTGTTGTTGGATTCTCGAATTATTTTAGTTTTTGGATTTGTGTGTTTTGATTTCAAGGTATGAAGTTTGGTGGGCGGCGATAGTCACTAGGTGGTGATGCTGCTGTTGGCTCGCCATTAACAAGAGGGAGCGGTGGCGTCGGTTAGACGGTGGGTGAGAGAGATGTTTTTACAGAAATGAAAATATTAAAAATTTAGTAAATGATCATTTTAACCTTTAACGGTTAAAAGAAACGAAACGAAGTTAATTTAATGATGAAAATCTAGAATTTATGAACCAGTGATGGGAACTTGCCATTTCGCTATATGTTGGGTGGGAACATCTCGTTTACTCAATGCTTTAACATGTCGCAGGTTAAGATGACAGTGTTTCTAGCTAAGGACAAAGTTAACAATAGAAATCACAAGCAACTAGCTCCTCATGATGTGAACGACCATTAACTGGCGAACCTTTTCCACTAGTATTAACCAAACAAGTTCCTAATAACAAGTGGTGAAGATAAGATGCATTTGTAGAAGGCTAGAAGTGCTTATTGTTATTACCAAATAGTATACTGTCATACAGATTGTTATTAACAGTTATTTGCTAATCCCATTAAAGGTAATATAGAAGTAAAGCAAAATATCATCTCTAAATCCCTATACGGAAGGTCTCTACGGATTATTTATTACTGTTTTATATAACCCCAGTGAACTATGAGAAAGCTGAATTCTAATGCCAGTGAAAATCTTTGATTCCTTCAGGCAACCACTAAATCTCATGACTGAAGTAGTGTTCATCCGGTTGTAAGAATAGATGGAGTTTAAGTGCTATTAGGAATTAACATGCTCTAATTAATCATTTAAAACTGCATTCTAACATCGTCCATCAGAGATTAAGTAAACATGAACAAATAAAATTAAGATACAAACCTGGAATTCCTCAAGAAATCATTGAAGTACAGCCGTGCAAAACTTTTCTGCAGAAGCTGCAGTTCCAGTTCATGAACAAGATGTGAATAAAAATTTTAAAATTTATAATACTAAGATACCCCAAATAACTCTAAAAGCATGACCAAAAGTCAAAAAATTGCAATACCTTGTTGTATGGAGAATGAAAAACAAAATAATCAGACTGAGTATCAGACCGACCTGCTCCTCCAGTAGGCCAAGCTAGCCCTTCTGCATAGACCTGCAACAAAGGAGCCATTCATTCAAAATAAAGCATTCCCATGTGAAACGATCAAATTGCCAAATCTAGAAATTACTTTAAAATCACATACTAAATTACTAACAGCCAATGCACTTAGGCTCCAATGTCAGTTCAACGAAAATTGTGTGAAATATAAATGTTCCCTGTGAAATAGCAAGAATCCAGAGAAAAAATTTTACTCTTCTTCTATAGAAGTAATACACTATTAAATAAAGAGAATTATCATCTCAAACCAGTTTTTACTTCTCTATCTAGCACCAGGTGACCTCATGGACACTATGGGCAAAATAACCACAATTGAAGCAGAAGATCCTTCTTGCCCGTGCCAGGTACTCTTATTGGGTCATTGTACAAGATTTTTGTCTAGCTTTAGGGAAATTTACGTACAAAATATGCAGATGGTCATGAAGCAGCCACTAGATTTCCATCAAATATAACTATAAATTTATTCTTCCGCAGTTATTTACACATGAAATTGCTCAAATCTTGACAAGGGTCAGGAACTGAGAATTGTTTGAATTTGCTTCATGACTCTCAGATCATTTTCAATGTTAAGGTCTATAGCTCACATAAACTTGGTCTTTATGAGATAGTGGAATACCAGCAAAGTTTTATGAGTGACAATTTAAAATCAGCTGACACAAAAATTGAAATTTTCTTTCTTTTCTAAATCAAACAAATGGAAAGAAGGGAGTCTGTCTTATTAGCAAAGAGACCGTACGCAGTGTCTGTGCATACAACGTCCATAGCGTCCCCCCAAGAACTACACTCTCCACCCAGTTTACCAATTGAATCGCTGCAGTTCCTCCTATCATGCATTGTTGAGTCAACCCTTCAATATCAGTATTACCAGATTCCTGACTTTTACAAGTTTGAATAATAGCATAACCAAAAACAACTAATAGATATTAAAAAGACAAGAAAATAGAAGTGGATTTATACATACATGAGATCCACCTCACAAAAGAATGGTGTTGCCTGTTTATCTATCTTGACAGAATCTTATGATACATTCTAAAATCCACGATAGATTGGAAAATTTTGATGCATATTTATTGTTAAAGAATAACCAACTTTTTTTAAATTAGTTTGTATCTTATCGTCACAGAATCTGAAAAGGCTGTTTTACTCTAGTTTCACACATACAGAAAGCATTTACAAGGCATATTGATGCTCAACCTCAGTCAGCTTACATAGATAAGATCTTGTATCTCATATTGCTAAAATGCTTGCAGCCACATCACATGAAAACACAGTTTATGGGCAGTATTAAAACACTACCACCTTGAGTCTGATGTCAAGATCTTACATCCAGGTGTTCTCCAAATTCATGGCTTGAGTTTAAGCCAGTAGCTCATGACATTTGGAGACAATCTTCAATGTCTACACAAGTATAGAAGTTTCTTCTTGACCAGAATGATAACCTAAACAACAAGAAAAATGAGGGCCTACCCCAAATTTTGCTTTAGGAAGGTCTTAATAAACTTGCTCTTGTCAATAACAGTCTCGCTGCCAACTTCAAGGTGTCCAATTTGAGTTGGATTAATTTTATATTCTCAAGGAGAAATAACAGCTGTCAAGCTGAAAGACAAAGATAAAGAAAAAAAACATAAAAATCAACACCATGAAGATCAACTACTAAAGTCTCTTTGGGCATGGTAATTGGTAGTAAGAGGGTTATATCACCAAGCTCCTCCCCGCAACTCCAAGAGAAGGTGAAAAAAAGGATAATCTGGTTGAACTTAATACCATGGACAGACTGTATACCATATATGATCAGTATCAAAAGTTACACTGATAGATGCAATTCAGGTGCTGGAATGATTGAAACCATCTAGATGGCATATTTGAACAGCATGCTTATAAAGAAAGTCTCACAACACCCATTAGTGTATAATTTTTGAATTCATGATTATCCCGGTTACTGACTTTTTTCCTTCTATTTTTTCCTCTCTTTATATTCTTAAAAGTACCTACAAAGGTAGATCGTCACACCCAAATTAAAAGAAGTACTGCTTCAAAAAGGATGATTTCACCATTAGTCAGAGGAATGCACCAACCAGAGATAGCTAGAGTGAAGTCTTTCAGGATAATGATTAATGGTAGCCAACTAAAGCATAGAGGAAATTTAAGTGAATATCAATAACCTCATTGAGATGACTTCCACCTCAGTACAAAATGTCATCCAATCCTGTCCAAGCCCAATAGTATATTTCCCTTTGCTCACCCCATCATGAGCCTCTAAAGCTTCCTACAAATTCCATTCAGAAAAATGCTTAGAAAAAACAATAATGCACAGATAAGTCATCTGGAAAACATATTATCGTACATAATAGTTGAGAAAAGGTCAAACAAAAAGTAGAGTATTCAGAAAAAACCAGAAAAATAGCTAATCAAATGAAAGTACTAATAAACAATGTTCTCAGAAAAAGAAATACATTTACTAACCTTCAATAGTACTGAATACACTTTGATCTATTTTTGATACCATCAAATGACCTTATAAATAACTGAAAGCATATTCAAATTGATTCATATTATTTGGCTGAGACAAACAGAAGTACTTTTAAGGTAGAAACAAACTAGAAAGGTGCTTTTATGGAGAAATACTTAGTAAGTGTTTTTTTCTAGAAAGCAATTTAAAGTGCAACTACATAAAATATTTTAAGAGCTCTTAAAATTGGTTTCTACTTTAACAACCTCCAAACACAGCCTTAGAGAATCATTCCAGTGAAGGTCCCACGGTTTTTCAGGCGCAAATACCACTCCCTTTCAGAAACTGTACAAATATGACGGGCTCCCATGGCTCAAAAAAATCATAAACTCCTCCCAGGAAGGTTTTAAAAATTTCAAAAGAGGTTTTGGAAGCACAATTCATTAATACAGAGAAGTTTCTAAGAATTTTCAGCAGTTACGGAAAATGTTTCTAATGAATTGTAAAACCGTAGGAGCCTAGCTGTATTTTAGTCATACTGCCGGGGAGATTGATGATATCTGTCATTTGTTACGTCTCCTCAATTAAATTCTTAAATCCTCCATTTATGATCATGATTAACCACCAGGCACAGATTTAATTCTTTTATAATCTAAGCAAACTTCAGTTGAATATGAAAGTGCAAGCAAATAACAAAAATTAACATCAACGAATCATGAACTATTTGATACATGTGAACCTTAAACCACTACTTAAATGGAGTTCAACAAAAATTAAGACTAATAGGTTTCGCAGAGTCGAAGCACATGACAGATTACTAAACGCATGAAATTCTTTTTGTTCCTCCATTTTATTTTCTCGGAAAATTGAACAGAAAGGAAATTTTAATATCACATTATCAGAAATAGTTCAAATTACTAAAAGAATGAAATCTAGTTTAGATTAATTAAACTACAATTCACAGAAACTAACCTGCTGAACACAAGTAGGAGGAAAGTAAACATCAATAGCGGGAATGCCAACATTTTTGGGATGCGAAGAGATTTTTCCAAAGTTTTGACGTTGATTCTTGGTTGGACGCCGAGAAAAAGTGAAGGAAAATGAAGAGAAAATTAAAGAAAAAATAAAGTTCAGGAGCTAAGAGTGTGTGACAGATTGAGTGAGCTATATATATATATATATATATATAGATGAGTGAGAGACTGAGAGGACTGTTAAGAATGTAATACGAGTGGCTTCAACTTGAAATGCGAAGACAAAGTGCTAGTGTGGTACGATTTAAGGGTCTGTTTGGATTAATATTTTTCGAGTAAACGACATATTCTCACCCAAGGTTTGACAAAATCCTAAGTTGATACCCTAAGTTTCAATTATTCCAGATTCTCACCCTTAATGTAACGGAAAATAGTTAGATATAACGGCTTAGGGGTAAATTGGTTATTTCGTAGAGGAGGCACACATTAGCAGATCGCCGCCCCTAACAAAGCTACGGTGCAAGTTAGCCAACGTCACCGTCGATGTTTTTCACCCTTTTCTGGTGATTCTTCCACCCAAAATCACCATTATCACCACCATTCGAACCCTCATCCTCCCCTTTAAAAAACCTTACCCTTCACAACCTCTCATCACTCGCCGATCGCTAGCCACGACAGCAGCCACATGTGACTGGTTTTCGTCGGTCTCCACCGACGAATGGCCACTAAACGGTTGTTGGGGACTTAAGGGTTTTGTAGATTTGGAGACACTGGTTGCAGTGGTGATGTCCAATTGGATTTTCATCGCTGGAATCAACAGGAATCCAGCGAAGAACTATGAAAACCTAAGTCTGACGACGCCAGCTATTAGAAGGGCCAATGAGTTGGGAACTAGAGGGGTTTTGGACGACGGATGATGGGGAAGGTGATGGAGGTGACTGGAGGGGCCACGATACTCATAAGTTGAGTACAAAAACAATTCAATACATAAAAAAGAAAAAACAATAAACAATAAAAAAAAATTACGGCGATTGGATGGGCCACAGTGGATCTGGTTAGAAAGGTCATCTCAGCGCACGACCGGCTAGATTCAACCAGTCATGCACCGATATGGTGACTTCGGCCACCCTCCGACGGTGGTGGTTGGCTGCCGGTATTTAATGGGTGGATGGGGGTGTTTTTATAATTTTTAATGTTTTTATTACATGGGTGATTAGCAAATTTACAAACCTAGGGGGTGTTTTGTTAATTTTTAAATCCTACCTCGTTATTCCCACCCAACTCTAAAAATATCCAAAATACTAAAACAAACTGACCTTAAAAGGCTGGTGACTGGTGAGGGAAATGTGGGACCATAAGTTTTTCATTTTCCACACAGTTTCTCAAATATCTATGGATCGATACAAGTGTTTTGATTACGTGACACTTTATCTTGTGCATTATTATCTTATACTAATATCAATTATACCACAAATATATAGTTGTAAACATATGATTGAATTTTAATATTTATATAGAGATAATGAATAAAAGAAATG